TTAAATTATACTGAATTGAGAGTGATTTTGACAGTGACATTATTATATATTATTCCTATATATAAAAATATATGATTTTTATTAATATTAAAATTATGATATTGAATTAAAAGAGATTTTGACAGTGATGTTGTTGTTATTTTTATTATTATTAATAATATTTTTAATAAATAAATGTTAAATAAAAATGCAAATGTTTTAAAAAATTGTTAATTGTTAATATCTATATAAAATGTTAATATTGAATTGACAATGTTTTTGACATTATTTTTGCCGTTATTATTATTATTATTATTAATAATAATAATAATCATGTTCGTATTAATAATAATAATAAAAATAATATTAGTTAAATTATAGTATTGAATTAAGAGTTTTGAATTTTGACTGTTGATTGTTGTTAATAATAATAATAATAATAATAATTTATTATTATTATTAATCATACTCAATTGAATTAATTGAAATTTTATGAAAAGGAAATGTATTACATTATTGAGTTAAATTAATCCCTCCATCTCTCTTTTTCAGAGTTCTACAAAACGGTCTGGAGGTTGAGCGTTTAAGATTGAGAAACTTCTACCTATATATCTGAAAAGCTTGTAGATGAACACGGTTTTACACTGACACGGGCAGCTCAAGTGTCTGAACTGGTGTAGCCTATTATTCTGTCTGTCGTTTATTTCAACGCTGTAACATACAAACGACCGCGTTTGCAAGCTGGCATAACATTTTGATGTGTTTTGATTTCATATCAGAAATACCGAGAGCGATCAGCCCAGCTTTTGTGATTTTGAAACCTGACCTTTTTAAAAGAGTAGCCTAAACTGAGATGTTTCTTTCTCCTCCTCCTGGTTCGATGTATCTTCAGACTGCCTATTTAAAACAAGACAGGACACTAATACGTTACGCCTAACACAGGGATCTGCATTACAAGGTAATTTCTGTGAAATTGTTGTGTAGACATTTTTTAGAATGTTTGCTTTTTATTTTAACATTTTTGGCTTCATTTTTCTGAAAAATAAAGTTTAAAGTTGAAGCATATCGAGTATGTTTTATAAAGCTTTTTTATCTAAAACCATTTTTTTTTTATATAGGCTATTTATTTTATAGATAGAGCATCGCCTTAAAAATAAGGTCGTAGATACATATTCAGTGCATTTTACGGCCTCCAAATGTAAAGTTGAGTTTTTGAATAATTTCGCGGTACAGATTGCAACCACTAGATGGAGCCCAAGTACAGCGTCACATCTGCAATTCATTATGCAAACCAGATGTGCAAGGTCTGTCGGTGAAAAGTACACTTTAAAAGTCCTATCAAATCCACTGCCCATATATTTTTGACTGCACATTCTTCTTTTAATAAACATGGCTTAAGTACACTTTACATAACGACTGTATCACACAAGACTGAACACGAGGCGAGGAGAACAGTCAAACTCTGAATCATTCATGAACCCAAAAATAGGCCTTCGAGGTAATGATTCAGAGTGTGAGATTATGGGTCCAGTATTGGTGTATAATCTTACTGTGGGAGCTAATAAACACTTCTTACCAGTGCAGACTATCTCTGACACTATTGTGAATCTCCTTCTTTAACGTCATATGAAATGTAAACTATTGTTGCAATGAGAATTATTGCAAAAGATTACTGATCTATAGAAATGATTAGATATCAGTTGTTGTGGACGCCAAATGGCTCGTTATCAAGAACGGGTATATAAGTGTTGTGAGTCATTATTTTAGTTTTTTTCCCCCATTAATCTCCTCTTAAGGAGTTGTTGAGAGCACAGTCTCACTCCTCCAGTACAGGATGACATGAAGTTTGTCTTGACAGATTATGTAATGTTGACATTGTGCATAAACCTGCCCCACCCGTCTGCAATGTTCTGGTAAATTCTTTTATTTATCTTTCTTTTTTTTCTTTGTCTTTTTATTCTTTATTGAATATCTGTAATAATAGTATAGGCTACATGTTCTCTATTCACTATTAATACACTATCCTACTATTATGTCTACAACTAAGACTCATTTTGTCTGAGAAGTTGTATTTAAATG